CAGTCTTTTATTATATTTCTTTATACGTTTCACAGTTGACTGAAACCTTTTCAGTAACCCAGTTAGATACAGTTAGTGCTGAAATGGGTGGAGTGGACATTACCATGAACAACAGCAAATAATTATGACAAAGAGGTGGCCTCCATTTGAAAGCCCTGTTTTCCTAATCACCTCTTAGAATGTGGCAAAGATAACACCATTACCATGAAACACTGATCTCATGTAAAGGCCACATTTTTCTAGGCTGTTGTTCACAAGATGTGGACAAATACAGTCAGAGGACATGTCTAGGTTCAACTAAACAGATTACTGAGGCAAGCTGAGTTCAGTAGTGACTCCTGAGCAGACTTAGAAGCAATTTACAGTCATTATGTGGGGACAAGTTCAAGAGGGAGAGTGCAATGTTGCTGGGTATTGGACGGTCAAGTGGCCACTTTTGTGAGGCACAATTAGAAATGTAATGCCCTATCATTTGTGAGACCTTAGCGATAAGATCTGTGGGATTTTGGCTTTCTTTCCAAGGTCTGCAGAGTTCCATTTATCTTTATCAGCACAGATTCAAGCAAAGGGAAAGGGACATAAAGCTGAATGTGGCAGAGAATGCAGAAAAACGGGCTTTGGCTTGTTTTCTTTACACACTGCAAAAGAAGGGCAACCTCTGTGAGACTTGTTTATACTTTTATTCCACTTAGTTCTTACAGGCAGTATTTTATATTTATACTAATAATTCATTTTATTATTGTTTAATTTGACATGTATTGTCCTGATTAAACATTTCAAATAGTGAAAAATGTCAACCACTATTTTTCAAATACCAAGATGACATAATCATTTCCTTGTTTTGTCAGGCCAACAGGAGGAGGAGGTTAGACAGAAAAGAACAAATAAAACCTACATTTGCAAGGTGTTTACATTGTAAAGAAAAACTGAAACACGGTAAACATTAGTGGGAGGGACTTTTTTCACAAAGGGAAGCTTCTTTGTTCAAGGTTTCTGCGTCAGGTTGGGGTGACTTATTTTGATGGATCAAAAGCTCTGTTGTCTAGACTGGTGCTGGGCTCTTTTTCAGACACTTTAGGTTATTAACAGCACAGTGTAAATCTTAATCCTCTGAATAGTTGCCCATCACAAATCTGTCAATCCTTCACCGAGCATGAATGGGACTTAAAAACAAGGTTCTTCAAACAAGCTCCTACCTGTTCACTTACTATGACTGTTTTCCTACTGAGTTTTCTCTGGATTTATCAGGAACATCGGCATCCAAGATGTGTGTGTGATGAGATGATACATAAAGCATGTGTAAAATACAAACGCAAATAAACTGTAACAGATTGATACTACTTACTCAACCCTTAACTAAAAGAGAGAGCAAGCCACTACCCTACAAATGACAGATTCATCCTCTATAGCCTATGGGAACCATATACAACCATATACAGGCCTGAGAATGTACAGCACACGGCAACAATATATCTATAAACTTCTGGCATAAGGAGTTAATATGAGTTACACATACAACTTGTGACAGACTGTTCAGAGTGTAGCTTCCTCTTGCCGAGTGTTGGGGGGATTGAGTCCAGCCCTCACCCCCACCCTCTACAGTATAAGCTGTATAGCAAATGGATGTGGCTACATTTAGAGCAATAGTTCTAAACTTTGGGAGAGTGACTTTAGTTGTGACAGCAGAATCAGACTAGCTGTTTCCCACTCTTTCAAGCCACTTTAGTTGTGACAGCAGAATCAGACTTGCTGTTTTCCACTCTTTCAAGTTTTTATGCTAAGCAAAGCAAAATGCTACTAATACAGTAGATGCCTCCAGCTTCAGTCTGAACTGATTTGTGAGTATTTGTGTCTAACTCTTTGCTATAAAGCTAATAAGCATATAAGCAGAGAAGAAGAACACACACACACACACACACATACACACACACACACACACACACACACACCCTTCTACTCACCTACTCAACCACCCACCCAAACATACACTCACACACAGGGACAAATGCAGTCCACACTTCAGCACCCTCATCAACTCCACCAAGTCCTCTTCCCTAAGTCTTCTGACTCTGATAGATCCTTTGTGCTCCAGATTCACAGGTGAGGCAGACAGACAGGCAGGCAGGGAGAGACCCACCCAGTGACCCTTTTGATCTTTCAGAGAAAGGTTTGGGGCAGATGATAAGTGATGCCCTCACCCTCCTCCTTCTCCACCTTCTGCCTCACTCTGTGCCCTGAGGTAAACCAGCTAATGGATAGGTTCTATGGAAAGATAATTTCCCTTACTGCATCTTTTGTCATATATATTTCCAGCCTAATGCTGTTTGATTAAGGACTCATTATAGGAATGGGCAGCTGTGTGTGTGTTATAGTCTAGCAACAGGTGGATGGATACTATAGAAAAAGTAGGGCTAATGTTGACATCCCAAGGAATGTGTCTGATCTTTGTTTACATGTGCATATGAGCACACACACACACACACAATAGAGTGCATTTGTTGCTGCGTGGGTGGGATGACCGAACAGCAGGGAGATCTGAGGAGAGGCGAGCAGTTGTGTTTTGGTTCCGACGTCCCATTTGGGTGTGGCAGCTCACACTGATGACAACACCCTGTTGCAGCTACCTGTGTAACTGTTTAAAAGTGTTGCACTTTTAGTTTGGAGGTGCAGACTGATGGCGTTACCAGTAGGATTAAATGATACACCTAGTAATAGAGTGTACTATGCTTTTCTTACTGCCAACAATAAGAACATTTAACTGATCCAGCCAGTCTGTGCAACCAAAGTCTGATACATCTCATTCGTCTGTGCCATAGAGCTCCATTGTTGTTAAGTCCTGGTGTTTTCATGGGATTGTTGACAATAACAGAAAATATAGAATATCTCCATCCTTATATTTTATGATGGAAGAATACCAGTAGCTCTGTCTGTGGCAATTAAATATTGTTCCTTGAAAAATTACAGCAGAAAAGTTGAAAATTCAAACTGTGACCTTTGCATATCACAAGAAATACACAAAGTGCAAGTCAGTAAATCAGAGTCATAATCTGATGGAAAAATACAGTAGATGAGTTTATGTACCTCAAATTTATGTCATGGAGGTACTTGCACAATTAATAGCATGTAGTATTGTGGACCTACAGCATGCAAAAGGCTGCAGGGTGTTTTTTTACTAGAGGTGATAGCTGTTGGTCAGAAGAAACCCAGCTGATACATTTATGGGAAAGTTCATGTTTTAGTCTCTTGATAATGGGGGAAAGTGATTCTAATGGGCCAGTGGATGGTTGAGCTCCCACTCAGTCTGATGAAAGCACTGTGAAGCTGACACACAAACATAAACAGGTCACAAAGGCCACACACAAACACAGACAACATCTATGTGCATTCAGAAGCTGATGCAGTTGTTTTTGTGTTGGCTGTGGCCTCTGTGTACCCATGGTGCTTTGCTCAGCTGGTATTCTGGGTGAGTTATCGGAAAGCGGCCTTGCCGGCTAAGAGCATGAGACAGGCTGTCGGCCCAGCTCATCTCAGTAACAACAACAAGTCTGGCCAGTCCAGCATGCATGACTGACTCCACCCTGTTGCCACTGTCTTACTGTCAATGTCTTATCAAAGCTTTTCTGTCAAGATAAACCAGATATAAGAATAAGACATTCTTCTGTTATGGTACTATATTGTCAAATGATGTAGTAAAACACTATGTTATAGGTTTCACTGTGTCTGGTACATTAAACTAAACTGTCCTTGAAAAGCTCTACTTATAAATCCTTCCTAGTCACCTCTGACTGACCTATATGAAGATGAACTGTGTGTGAAGTCATCCTGTTTTCTGTTTGTCTGTGCTGAGGCCCTCACATCCATCACAATGACCATTCTTTGATCTCTGAAACACCAGTGCGGTCAAACCTGCTACCATTTCGGCAGGGTGGACAATAAGTAACACATGATCTCTCACACACAACGATGATATGAATCAGGAGGCTTCACATTCTTGCCACTGCACACGTGTTGTTACTTTAAGATGGGATACAAGACGAGCTCCTGTATCTATGATTTTGCCTTCAACTTCCTCACCTCGTTGACAGTTTCTCCTCTGGCGGTCTTCTGCTCTGTGCGCTGAGGGATCTGCAATCAGACACACTCCTCCCAACACCACCCTCCACCAGCCCCGCCTTACACCCCAACAACCGCTCTAACTGCAGCCTCTTGTCAGTGAAGACAAATATTGACTTGTTCGGTGGCCCAGCTTCTGCCAGGATTAGAGCTTCACTTCCCCCCCGCTGCCGCCATCTCTAAACGGTGATTATGTCCAACAGAGCTCATTACTGTCAAATCAAAGGATCTCTCAGAAGAGTCACTCATTGGTAATGAGACTGTTTTTCTGTGAACATGTGGGTCTTTGTTGACTTTACCTCCTGTAGTCTGAGCTTTCTTTGAAAATTGAAATTGTTGTACATGAAGTGCAAGTATTTTAAAATGGGTTTAACTTGCCCATTTAAATAAAAAACACTACTTTGAATACTTGGGTGGTGCCTTCTTTTACTGGTTATAAATGAATACAATCTTTTACACTTATTGTAAGCCACAGGATTGTGTCATTAAATAGTTAAAGCACCACATCTGATTGAAGTCATGACTTGAGTATCGAATACACACTCTCAGGATGAGAGTCCTTTGCATAATCCAGTTACAGTCTGGAGAGTGGCTGTGAATCAACAGAGATTAGAGGTCTATTAGTCTGAAGGTGGAAATCAAAAGAAAGGTATTCATGGATAAGCTTTAACCCTCTGTAGATACTTAACACTGAAAAAACAGGATAATGCAATGAAACTGAGGTGAAACTACAAGTTTAACTAGAGAATTTCAAAAGACCCTGTTTTGTGCAAATATTTGCATTTGGTATTAGAATATTCTTGACTTTCTCTCTTCTCCACCTTTTCAAAGAAAAAGTACAACTTGAGTTTTCACACACTCTCAATGAATCTAAGAGATCTGGCACACAGCACACATCTTTAATACAGTAGTTAGTTACATTGATGTCAAAAAAATAAAACATATACATCAAATTGGAACAATTATAAAGTTCCTTTGTTCCCTTTAGTGCCGTGACTACACTGAACCCCCACCCCCCACCCCTACTCGCCCTGTTGTCAGTCCCAGTAACATTTGTGCCATCTGCCTGTCTACCCCCATCTCCTCTCCACAAACTACATAATTAAGCTGCAACACCTTTCTTCCTCCTACAGCACCCCGCCACAGTCCAAGCGTCTACCTTCTCAAACAACAAACCTTTTCAAGAGGACACTGCTGTGTTTTAGTTCCCTGCTCACACATTTTTAACAAGTGCTTCTACAACAAAATAGCAATATATCTGAACAAAGAAACAGGATATGGTATGAAAATACTGTACAGCTTTATGTTTCATCCAGTGTACACAGATTTCAATTCAAATTAATTCACAGTTCCTCCAGAGCAGTGTGGGTGTGTGTTTCAAATCACAATTCTGCCCTCTTTTCTGATACAAATGAGAATTTTTGCAGAGTAGACCAAAACAGAAGAAATAGACTTTTTTCTCTGAGAATTTGAGGAGCAAAGCAGCTACAGAGCTCAGCCCTCTGGCTGCAGGACATGCAGAGCATCCCACTGTAGAACAGGAGGAACATACAATGGATTTCATGACGGTGAGCAGTGTCTATTCAAAGTTGATCACCTCATCTTACCAGCTTTGAACAATGGACACGTATAGTCTGTGTTTTTACAACTGTTCCAGAGGTGGCAGCTGGGACTGTCCCGCAGCCCTGCTCCACCTTTCCTTTCACTGTTTACACCTTGGTGGCCAGAGACTGAACTTCTGACTTCTGAGTCTGGGCACTGAGCGTGGATGACATGGAGCTCATCTGGCCATGCATAGCCTTTTTCAGGTTGAGTAGGCACAGGCACTGGGATCGAAAGCGAAGGTCAAAGAAGGCATACAAGAATGGGTTGAGGCAGCTGTTGATGTAGGCCAAGCAGGTGGCGTAGGGGTGAGCCAGCAGCAGGAAGCGAAGGAACCCACAGGAGCTCGGAGCCAGGTTCAGATAGGAGAGCGCGTCCATGCTCTTCAGCACATGGAAGGGAGTCCAGCAGATGGCAAACACCACGACCAGGGTGGTGATGATCTTCAGCAAGCGCTTCTTCTTCTGGTCCTCCTTGCGCAGGTTGTTGAAGTGGCGTGTGACAGTGCAGCCAATGAAGCAGTAGAAGATGGTCATGGCCAAGAAAGGTAGGAGAAACCCCAAAGCAGAGGAGGACAGGCTGAGTCCTGCTATCCAGAGAAACTCATGCCTCTGGTTCATGGTCACCAGGCTGAAGTCCATGGCACATGTGGTCCGGTTGCTGTTTTGGTCATTCACAGTGGTGCGAAAGAGCAGCGTGGGCACAGCCAGTAGGCCGGACAGGAGCCAAATAGCACCCAAAGACACCAGCATGGTGCCCCGTGAGCGCAGCCTGCTGCTGGACAGCGAGTGCACGATGGCCAGGTAGCGGTCAAAGCTCAGGCAGGTGAGGCAGAAAACACTGGCATACATGTTGACCAGAACAACATAGCTGCTGATCTTGCACAGAGCCACACCAAAGGGCCAGTGGTAGCCCAGTGCTGTGTACACAGCCCAGAGAGGTAGGGTTACAACAAATGTGAGGTCAGCAAGGGCCAGGTTTCCTATGTAGACATCTGCAGCCCGGCGCTTAGACTTGGATCTCCAGACAGTGAAGATGACCACGCCATTACCTGACAGGCCCAGGATGAAGATCAGCATGTAGAAGACTGGAATGAGGGAGTATGATGGCTCCCACTCAGAGAAGTCACAGGCAGTCTCATTGTCTTCATAATAGTCATAGTTATCAACATATTCCCCAGTGGTGGGCTCCATGCTGCAATGGAAAAGACAGAAAATAATAATAACAATAATTTTAAAAAATCCTTAGTTTTCAGGGAGAAACAAAGAGTCCTGTACAGGTCCGAGGCTTCGGGGGAGAATCAAAGCAAAAATCGGTGAACTACAGGAGCTGGAGGTTCTGCTGATGGGAACTGGAGGAGAGAACAGACCGTGTGTGAGTGAGTGACTGGCTGCCTTTTTAAACTCGGCCCCCCGCACTCCTGGTTCCCTCCCAGGACGATCCCTCAGCCCACTCCTCCCGTCCCCAGCAAAACATCTCTTCGCGCTCCCCCGCCTCCTCTCCCTCACCCCGATACGCTCCCCCCAGAGAAAGGTCAAATCCTCATTAGGAACGTAGCATGTCTGGAATTGCAGGAGAAGGTCTAAATTCAGAAAGTTTCAAAATAAGGAATGGTAGACCCGCGACCTGACGGCGAGGCCCGGTCTAATGCATCAAAGACACAAACCACTTTATCTGGTTTTCATTTCTTCTGCTCGGTTGTTGCGATGAAAACCAAAAATAAATACGCAAAGGGATCTAACTGGAAACTGCGCAAGTTTTCTCTTGCTAATAATAATACTATAGGCGAAATGAATATGATAATAACAACATTTCAATCAATAACTATCAATTGCACCATATAAGATGCCGACTGATCTCCTCTCTCCTTTTTTGCCTTGTGCGAAAACTTTAACTTTGATTGGAAATAAAAACGTAGCCTGATTTTTAGTTTGCGAGGAAAGGTGCGCTCCGGACATGTAAGGAACATGTAAGGAACATGTAAGGAACATGTCTGAACATTTCAACTTTTCTCGTTATACATCACAATCAGCCAAGTTAAAGGGCTGTTAAAAAGTGCAAACTACCAGATGGGTCACGCTTTAGTCTTTTCTTCTCGGCAATCGCGGTAAAATAAAGTTTATTGGCTGTTTCTGTGTCTTATGGTTTTGTTGATAGATGGTGAGTTGTTTCGAAATGCGAATGTAAATAGATTGACAGTGAAATGCAAAGTGAAGATAAATGTCAGTTCCAGGGTTTTGGACATTTACTTCTGGAGGCTGGGGATTAATTTCCATGATAAAAGGACAAGCAAACATACCGGTGTGAAACAAAAACAAAAGGAAACGTCGCATTGACACCAGCATTTCTAAATCCTTTCCACTGGACCTGTTCCTTACATGCTTATTTAAGGTAACTTGGCTGCAGAGTATAGGTGAGCAAATGATCCATTTTATACTATGAGAAAATGTGCAAATTAGATATTTGCACATTTTTTCATATTCCATATGTGGTATCTGTACTATTTTATGAACAGCAATAGGAGCATAGCCCCTGTGAAGAAGTCACTGAAAAACCACAGATAAGATAAGGACACACTGTCCAAAAAAGTTCAAAAACCTAAGAATCTTTATTATCCACTCAAGTTTCCAGATCACATCTTATGTAATATCAAAACAGAGATGTGATATGGAAATGTTTGTCTTGGGAGTTTAAGTTCCTGTTTCTTGTAGCATGTGATGAGTGGACAATAAATGCACTGAAGAGCATTTTGAAGCCTCTCTGTGACTTTATCTGTAGTTTTTTAATGTCTAAAAAAGGGACACATATGGTTTGTTTTGGGGGTTTTAAAGTGATGTATTGATATTGTTTTATTAACAAGAAATCAATTAGATTAGTAACTGCATGCTCATGAAAACTGATTTTTTTTTTATTAACAAGAAATCTGGGAAAAACTTTAAAAAATGTTTGAGGGTTGTTAATGCCCAACCTAAAGATACAAACTGTGCACAATGGAATCCTGCTTTTCAGAGAACAGTCATCTGATAAACTATTTAAGCAGCTCACTCAATATGTTCTTTGTCAACCTGCAGTGGACTCCAAACCCGCCTAAAGGAATTACTTTCGGTGGGACAAACGGGCAGACAATTGTGAGCGGTGCTGAACATTATTTACAGCAGGTTTACTTTAGTTAATCTGTCAAAAACAGGCCTTGTAATGGTGATAACTGGGAGCCGCTGCATGGATCCTCTCAGTGGATTATTATACTGTAAATACACAGACTGTGATGAGAGGTACAGCTTTCTGGATGACAGCTTATCAGCCTGCAGTGAGTGACTGGTGATTGTGCTACATATAAAGCCAGCTGAGGGGAGTCCGACATGACAGACTCTTTATCCTTCTTTCAGCAATAAAATGTTGGCACCCACTTTTTTCTCTGTGGAGACACAACTGCCGCACTGCATGCCAGGTGAGAAACACTCTGCTCTGCTTATATGATTTTATTTTTGTGTTTGAAATAGAGAAAGAGAGGATAAAACAGTGAAAGCGGTGTTGTACATCTTGCAGCCTCCTCCTTAGACTGGAAACACTAAAAATGTACCATGCTTATTCTGCTCTGACTTGATTGTCAACCTCAAGCAGCCAAGCATTCACACAAACACACACACCAGGTGGGTCCCACCTCTACTTTATTCCCCAGGGAGAGGATTTGCTGCCTGCTGTTTCTAGGCATGGCATCCCTTAGACAAATAAATTTGCAAATTTAAAAAATAAAGGCAAGCAGATAAGAAACAGATGGTCAGATTAGACTTGGATATCTTCAGAGGACCTCCTCACTTGTAGCCTTTATAGGTGCCAAGATAAAGTCCCATTGCTGATCCTGTTGGAAGTTTTATGAGGGGTGGAGGGGCGGAGGTTGATTGTCAGCGGGGAATGAAGATTTGCTTACATTTCTTTCCAAATAAAATATGTGTAAAATTCATTTCACTGTCATTTTTGGATATGATTGTATGCTTTTATTTTGTAGTATTTTCAAGTTACCTTGCCACCCACAGCTGCACTGTATCACAGGGCTTTCTTTTTCTCAGGCCTGGAACATGTGTTCCTGCCACAGCTGTGGCTGCTTTTGATCTGCTGCTGTAAAGACCCCGCTGCTGTGATATGACTCACTCTGACTCTCATTATGTTTTTATATAGACAAAATGTGGCCATTCAATTGGAAGTTATCATACGTTCACTGGAGTCAGTGACAGGCAACTTGGAGGATGTTTGCAATGGACACATGTCAGCTCCAGTCAGGTCAAAGGAGGAGATAAGTGACTGAAGGTGTAATCTGTGACCTGGGGTTTCTTTGAAGTGTAAAGATTGTTGGCAGCAACAGATCTTCCCCCCTTTCTTGTTGTGTGGCTAAAATAGCAAAACCAGGCCCCTCAGAGGATGCTGAGGGACCCAGGCCCCAGAGCAAAAGGGCTGAGCATCATGGTGTGGAATCAAACCAGACATGAAGTGGGTTTTTGAAAAAACATCATACAGAATAAACTTGTGTTTTTATTGACTCACTCTCGTGCTGACAGTGAGCCACAACCATGGAGCTTTCGCATCAGCTTGCTAAATGCCGACTCTGCTGTGTCAGACGACATCGCACTCCCGTGCCACGGAGCCAGCGCCACACCCTCACTTGTGCAAGGGCACTGCTCCTGCTGAGAGGACTGCTAAATGGCAGAGCATCACAACAATCTGCAGGTTACCGGAGGATCACTGGCTGTAATGCGTCTGCTACTCTAGCGTGACTGTGTGCTTCAGTGTGTCTTTTTTTTTTCAGTGCAATAAAAATGAACCAACACAGCAAAGCACAAAAATAACTTAGATTTAAATGGGAAGTCCTTTAAATATTTTCCAGAGGGTGTTGTACTATAATGGATGTGCCTAATGAAACCCTTAAGATCGAGGTCAGCCATATCACAAACAGCTATCTTTTCCCCACATCTGCCTGTGCCTATTGTTTCATTTTTGTCACTCCAAGCACTTCTCTCTTAATGGGCCTGTTGATAAAGTGTTTATTATTATTATTATTACTGCTATTTCAGCATTATTTTTGCATTAGATTGAAGCAACAGATGCAAATTATTTTTGTTTTTATTGCAAGCCTGGAAGAACATGTTCCCTGTTAAGAGATTTTAGTGTTTTAGTCCTGTATTGTCTCCTATAATCATATAACCTCTGCTGCAGATAAACTACTCTGAAAAGAAACTGGCTACTTCACCAAGTGTACACATCAAAGTCAGTTTACTACTGTAGGACAGTACTGTTGCATTTGAGGAAAAACATTGTTTAAAGCCTTTTGTGGCTGCAGAAGAAACTCAGTCCAAACTGTCAGCAGCTGAGTTGCAACGTGGTTCTGCTGCATCAGTTCATCAAGAGTTTAACAGTATCACAAGAGTGTACTGCCGAAGTAGTGAAGTACTTCAGTGCAGTAAGAGCTTGTCACTTAATTTATTTTTTGTTTATTATCACTTGGTTGGGCTAGCCCTTACTACACAGGAACGTCAAACCGTGACGTCACCTGATATGCCAGCTTTGGAGCTGACCATAACAATAGTCAGAACATGAAGAAAATCAATGTGTGTGGCTGTTGATTAGTGGTGTGTATCTAAGAACATCTTGATATGACATCTAGTGACATGTCATGACATTACACATAAGAAAATATTATGATTACAATTACGGTTACACATATCATAATAATAACAATAATTCTCCTGCCTGCAAACTTTTTCTATCTAGTTGTCCTTGGCCATATGCACCCTGCAAAAAACTCATGAGAATGACTAAGCATTTGACAGCCTGAGCTAGACAGCCTGGCTCCACTAAACATTTCTAATACAACAAATATCTAACCAATATCTATCTGACTAAAAATTACCTAACAGGTGCTACAGTGTAAGGAGCTAAAGTGGTGTGGATTTACCCATTTCAACTTTGATTCAGTATCAGTGAATGTATGTATCAAAGCAAGGTTTTCCTTGGAAGGCTCAAATGTGGTGGAGGGTTTATCTGCAGCAGAAGTCATGGTGTCTGTGCTTGGGAGACAGTCGGGTTTCTCAGCCATATCAAAACCCAAATAGGGTGCAGCCTGACTACAGCAGTGTTTGCAAGTCAGTTATTGTTGTTGCCATGAGAAACACAATCTTGACTGTTTGTTCACTCATTTAACTTCCTTCTTGGTCAGCAGCATGAAATGTCCCACTTGTTTATATTTCACTTTGAGCCACTACTTTTGTACTTTTTGACTCCTTTTCGTCTTGATTAGGAAGTTTTTAACACTTATACAACAGATTCATTTGGTAATCACAATGTTAAATGTATGCTGACTGACCCGCACTGGTGCAGCTGTCCAG